TACCGTCTGGGAAATCTGTTGTTAGTTGCAGGTGGGTGTTTGCTATCAAAGTTGGACCTGATGGTACTATTGATCGCCTCAAATCTCGTCTTGTGGCCAAAGGTTATATTCAAAATTTTGGGTTGGATTATGGAGATACTTTTTCTCCCGTGGCAAAGATGATTTTTGTTCGTTTATTTATCGCCATGACTGCTCTTCAACAATTACCTCTTTATCAATTGGATGTTAAAAATATTTTCCTCAATGGTGATTTGCAAGAAGAAATTTATATGGAGCAACCTCCTGTGTTTCTTGCTCAGGGGGAGTTTGCTGGGATGATATGTCGTCTTCGCAAATCTTTATATGGTCTAAAACAGTCTCCTAGAGTCTGGTTTGGAAAATTTAGCAAGGTTGTTCAACAATTTGGTATGACTCGGTGTGAAACAGATCATTCTGTCTTTTATCGACACTCAAGTGCTGAATGTGTTTACTTGATAATATATGTTGATGACATCGTTCTTACAGGTAGTGACAACCATGATATCTCTCAGTTGAAATAACATATTTATCACCATTTCCAGACCAAAGATCTTGGTAAACTCAGATATTTTTTGGGTATTGAGTTGGCACAATCCAATGATAGTATTGTTATATCTCAGAGGAAGTGCCATGGATATTTTGGAAGAAACTGGGTTGATGAATTCAAGGTTTGTTGATACACCCATGGATCCCAATATCAAACTTCTACCAAATCAGGGGGAGCCTATATCTGATCTTGAGCAGTATAGAAGATTGGTTGGAAAATTGAATTATCTTACAGTTACTCATCCTGACATTTCCTTTGCAGTCAATGTAGTAAGCCAATTTCTTAATTCCCCATGTGAAGATCATTGGAATGCAGTCATTCGTATCTTGGAGTATATTAAAAGATTTCCTAAAAAAGGATTGTTATATGATTATAATAACAATACAAGAATTGTTTTCTACTCAGATGTTGATTGGACAGGATCTCCTTCTGATAGAAGATCTACATCTGGATATTTTGTCTCCATTGGTGGTAACTTGATCTCGTGGAAAAGTAAGAAACAAAGTGTTGTGGCAAGATCTAGTGCAAAAGCAGAATATAGAGATATGACCCTAGCTGCCTGTGAACTTGTTTGCCTCAAGCAATTGCTTAGAGAGTTACAATTTGGAGATGTCACTCAAATGACACTTGTGTATGACAATCAGGTTGCTCTTCATATTAGCTCTAATCCTATCTTTCATGAGAGAACCAAACACATTGAGATTGACTGTCATTTCATTCGAAAAAAGATTATATCTGGAGACATCAAGACTGAGTTTGTTAACTCAAGTGATCAGTTAACAAATATTTTTACTAAGTCTTTACGGGGACCTAGAATGAATTATATTTGTAACAAGTTTGACACATACGATTTGTATGCTCCAGCTTGAAGGGAAGTGTTAGATATTGTTTGATATTGTTAGATATTGTTAACTATAATATCAAACAATATCTTCTATTTACTCTATTTGTTTTCAATTACTCTATTTATTTCCAGTTACTCTTTTTTTATGTACCCCTCTCTATTATAAATAGATTATCCTATATGTGGTTTATGTAAAAAAAAAATTAATCTCAAACCTTATTTCCTCTATAGTCAACACCGTCGATATATCGTCAATAATATATATTTACTGATGGATTTTTATTGTTATCGATGAATTTTTTCAATCGATAAATTCATTATTTTTAGTAGTGATCAAAACATAGATACACTCTTTAGATATAAAAATTATTTATATCATATCATAAATCCATATTTTCCTAAAAAAATTTACAAATATCTTAATTTGTGGTTCAACAATAATTGAAAAAAGAAGAAGAAAATGTAATGCAAAATTTAAATCTTTAATTTTTATTCATCAATTCATCATTGTTAGTCTTCTAAATATTAAATGAAAAATATAAATACTATAAAAATTAACGATATTTATGTGACTGTGATTTAACCTAACCAACATTTTGTTGATCATTGAATAAAAGAGAATTTGTGAACATGAAAAAGTTGAAAGATAAGCATACGATGTTGCATTTCACATACCTGCGTTTTAATTTAGCCACGTCTTACAAATATTTTGTTCATTGCATAATAAATAAGAAAGAGGCAAAACATAATGCAAAATCAAGAATTTACTGAGAGATATGATAAGTCTTGTGCATTTCACATACCTGAGTTTTAATTTAGCCACGTCTTACAAATATTTTGTTCATTGCATAATAAATAAGAAAGAGGCAAAACATAATGGAAAATCAAGAATTTACTGAGAGATATTATAAGTCTTGTGGGAGAGAAACCCACAGAGTTTATTAAGTACAAAATCAATCATAGAAGAGCGACATAAACCCATGTCTAATATTAATTGTTGATTTTTCATTGCATAAAGAATTGACGAAAGATAAAAAATTTAATTAAAAAATAAATATAAATTAGAGTATTTGAATTAGTAAATTTATTTTTAAGACATATATAAATATATTTATATATAAGTAATAATCTCTAAACACACATATACTTATAATAATTTTATAAGTATTTAGTAAATATTTTAAAATAAGAAAAATCATAATATATAAATTTTGTTATATTGTATATTTATAAACATAAAGTTAAAAATGGTACACTTTAATTTTAATAAAAAAAAGTAAAAATGAGAAAAAACCTGTGTTTATTTTCATATAATTAAATTTATAATAAAATAATAATGTTAGCGGTGCTCTACTGTCAGAAAATACCAATTTATTTATTGTAAAATTCTTAAAAAATGTTAAATTTTTTTAATTTAAATTCAAAGATAAATTTAAAATGATACCTTATTAAAAACATTGGGAATTACTTTAAAATGTTATTAATAATAAAATATGTAATTTAACGTATACTCTACTGTTAATTAAAGTAACTTTAACTGTTTTAAATATTTTTTATCTTTCAATCCATATCAATTATAAAATATAGAAGTGAGTTTGAAAAGAAAAGGATTTCAATGTCTAAGAATTTGACTAGTGAGTATTTAAAATTTAAATACAAGTAAAAATCTAAATAAAAAATTGAAATTTAATAATTTATAAATAATAAAAAAATATAATCTATAATTTTAAAGTTTTAGGTTTATAAATATCTATTCTTAAAAATATTTTAAGATATATAAATTTTAAATTTATAGATTATATTTTATATTTTTTATAAAAATGTTATTTTCAATTATTAATAATTTAAAGAAATAATAAAATTTAATTAGTTGAATTAATTATCCCATAAATAAAAATAGAAATGATATTTTGACATCCAAAATCTATACAACTTTCACAAACAACTATCTTTTAATATTATAATAATAATTTTAATTTATTTTTATTTTTTAAAATTATTTTATTAAATATTATATTATTAAAAATGGATTATTTGGTGGGATGTATGTTTTTAGGTTCTCAGTACTTTTTTAATTTAATAATAATAATAAATAATAGAAATAGTAGTTTAATAATAATAATAATAATAATAATAATTAATGATGTAAATGACAAGTTAAACTTACCAATAATATAAACAATTTTATTTCACGCTTTCCATTCCAACACTCATTCAAGAGTTCAATTTAATCTGTACAGTATACGGCGTGTAAAAATTTTCGCATTTATTATCAATAAAAATATCATACTTTAGCTTATATTATTTTAAAAATAATTATGATTAAAATTAATAAATTTATAGTAAATGAATTGATGATTAAGTAATAATATACAAATATATACTATTTATTTGTAATTAGATGTGTTACCTAAGAGTATTTTAAATCTAAATAAATATCAAAATTTCAATTGAAAAAAAAATTTAAATAGTTTTTTGTCAATTATAAATTTTTAAAAAATAACATAAGAATTTCTCCTTTTGGTTTTTTATTTTATCACATCTTAATAAGCTACACAGAGAGAAATAAAAACAAAATTTATTAAAAATTAAATAAATTTTTAATTTGTAATAGAAATATACAAATGTAAAGAAATTGCATTGTTATAAATGATAAATTTATTTATTTTTATAATATATTTCAAAAATGTATATATCTAAATTATTTCTATCTATACATAAAAAAATTATACTAATGATATATCAAAATATATTATGTATACTTTTATAAAGTCTTATTAAAAACATTGTTATATGAGTATATTTAACATAGTAGCAAAAATGGAGTATAACAAAAATATTTATCATGATTTTCTAAGTAATTAAAATATTAAACAAAAGTAAAAATTATATTAACAAAACTGTTTACGTTTAAAGTATTCTTTAACCAAATTACATTATCTTCGTCATGATATGGTTTAGGACTGGTGTTAACTTTCCAACCCCATTAATCTCAAAATAAAATATGTTGTAGTTTAAATTTCGTGATATATTATAAGAATTTAAAAGATTTGGAAAATAAATTTTGAACTTATAAAATTAGAAAAGGTATATATGTACTTAGACAATATGTAAAATTGTAATAATAAATTTAAAATGTTAAAAAGAATGTATTTTATTTTTTAATATGTTTAATAATTAATCGATTCTAACTTCATATTATCTTAAATAGCAGTAACAATTTTTCTGAAAAAGGATTTTTAAAATCTTATATAAATTATAATAGAACACAGTCCACGTCCGCTAAAATAATAGTAAAGCATTAACGAAGTCGCAAGGACGTGTTTGGTTTACTTTAGAAAAGTTTCAGCAAAAAGCAAAAACATGCTCGCTATAAAGCATGTTAGCAATGCACTCACGTTTATTTATCCTTTGATGGACGGTTTTCATTTCATTTCATTTCATTTGATCCAATCCTATAACAGTAATAACGCCAACTTTATACAAACAAAAAAAAAGGTTCGGTTGGCACGTCAATTATTGGCCCTTCCACTCCATTTCCATTTACTCTGCTTCAACCTCTCATTCATTCCAACAACAATCTTCGACAAGATGCAGCTGCAAGGTTTGTGTACTATCACTGTAAACCTACCTGTGTCTCAATCGTTAAAGATTGTACAGATAGATTAATACACTCAGCTACGTTTGTTTCTTTTTGTTTTTCAGATGGTTCTGTCGGTAAAGTGATTAACTTTATAACCTCACATGTTGTGGCTACGTCCTTCGCCGGAATAATTTCGGAGCAGTCAAGGGTGGTCGCCGACCACAGCATCATTCCCCACCTACGAACAACAGACTCTGGCCGTCTCATAAAGTTTGAGAAGTTCTCTCACTATGTTGGTAAGTACTACTTAATTAATTTAACTCCTCTCTCCCTTAATTAATTTTCATGCTACTTCCTTCCTTCAAATCAATCCTTGTATCTAATAATCATGATGAAACCAAATACCTAATAACATGAATGGATGCACTTCCCACCCTCACATCTGAAAGCGAGAAAACGATTCCGACATACGATTGGTTAAGAAATAAGTGTTCAAATTTTGTTGAGAAAGCCAAATTTTCCACCCTTTCAGTCAAGGCCCAGAAAAATTGTGCCTAAACAGGAGAATAAATTATATTTTGTAATTAAATAATTTTAATTTTAATATTAAATTATATTGAGAAACTGATCATAGTTTTTCTTATTTTAGCTAATTTTAAACCCAAGTAAATGGAATGGGTCTTCTTCTTGTTCTTATTTTTTTCCAAATAGTCTCAATTTCTAGGCACGAGAGAGTCTTTATTTTTAGGTAGTAACCTAGGCCTCTAGGAAAATAGGAATGCACAATAACTCGTGTTTCATAAGTTTTTAGCTTTTTTTTTTTCCTTGGATTTAATCTTGATAGAAATAATAACGCGCCTGTTTGATTTTATCTTCTAAAACATCGTATCGACGTCCAATTCAAAGTTACTATCCATTGATATAATAAGAAAGTTCAAAATCAAGCGCATTATGGGGACGTTAATGAAACTCAGCGTAAGAATATATTTACACCCAATTGCTTGCTTTTCAGGGTTAACAGCAGCATAGTCTTGTCTGTTCCTCATTATTATACAAAAGTTTTTAGACCTTAAAAAGTTCTTTTGTTAAAGCTAAAAAGTTATTTTAAATGATAAATACAAAATTTTGAAATTTGAAATTAAAAAGGAACAGCAAAAATTTTAAACTGTTTTCTTCAAATTTTATTTGATCCAACCTTTTCTTTTTATTTAAAAGAAAAATTAGTAAGACAAAAAGTTTAAACTGGTTCGTGTCATCTAATTTACATACATATACTCGTACATACATACAAGTTAGTTTTCGTTTCACTAGCTTTATTCTGCTTCTTTTTTTCCGAAAAAAGACAAAAAGAATGACGTGTATGCTTAGAGCGGTGATGAACTTGTGGAGGAATGAATATGTTATTTATTACTAGACTATATATACTTATTTTGAACGCAACATTAATGTTCCATGTGCTCATAAGTTGCAACACTAAAGAAAGAAGTGAAGCTGAAATTTGTTGTGTATGCACATGACGCTTGGAATTTAATATTATACTTTGACTTTTTGTTTGTATAGTGAATTATTTTTATTAGAAAGCGGTCCAACTTTTCCACCGTTCTAGTCATGAAATGTTTGAATTGTTCAGTTTTTCATATATTTATGTTTTTTTATAATTAAAAAACAACAGAAAAACACATAGATAGAGTAACAGTGAATGGAGTTGGAATGGTGGAGGTTTGATAATAAGATGGTGAATGTGTGTTGGTTGCAGCTAGACAACTGGGATTGGCAGAGAGCGAGGGTCCAGAAGTGTGCAGATTGGCAAATGAGTATTTGATGAAATCGAAGGAATGTGTGGAAAGTATCGTTCAATATTTTGCCCATCAGAACGATCCTACTTTACCAGCAAAATTGATTCATGAGTTTGACCGGTGCATCCTCAGTTATTTCGCGTTTCACTGGAACCAGCCTTCTTTGCTCATTAGTCAGGTATACTTTCACTACCTCAATTATTAAAATCAAATCTATTTTTTAATTGAAAAACAACGCGAGAAAATCGCCTTTTAATGTTTATCTTCTACTGCTTCATTCACTTTCTAAAAAGGCCAACTCTTTTATTTTCTCATTATTTACTACATGCAATTAAGTTCTACCTAGTAAGATTTTAGGATATTGATTAAGATATAGGAGTATTCAATATATCTAATTAAATATTTAAAAATGAATGTTATAATTTTTCAAAATGCAAAATCACATTTTACTTTATTTATGACTCTACTTTTAAAAATAATAATTAGAATAAAGTTAATTTATTTAGTTTTTTTTCAAGATATTACATATTGATCTTAAATAAGAATGTATTAACGTTAACTTTCAAAATCTTATCAATTTTCTTAATAGACGTGATTGTTAGGGCAATTTTGATTCTTTTTATCAATATTATTCTTTATTCTAATGTACGTCTTATATCCACATTAGAACACAAATAAATATAACAAACAATAAAAGAAAAGTGTTCTAACCGGAGAATTTATAGAAAAAGAGTAAGAGGAGAAAATAACGTTTCTCGTTTTTCTTAACGGTCAATTTTTTAAAACATTAATATTTCTCTTCATGTATGGTTTTCAAGTTCAACAATATTAATTACTTTATTTTTATCATTTGTTTATCCTTATTCTTCATTGTCTTATATTAGTTCATGAATGGTTTTAGGTTTATGCTTTTATTGAGGCTGGTAGTTCTGTTTAGTTTTATTTTAATTGAGTCTAAAGGTTTTTTCTGTGTATTGATACAATTTAGTATGATAATGTCAAATTTCACTCAAGAGATAAGGTTGTGTTTGTCTTGCTTGTTTGTTGTATGTTTAAGATTGCATTTTGGTTGTTTTATTTTTTTCTTTTGTAAAACTTTATTTTTTCATAATTTTATTTAAATTGGGGCATAACCTTTAATGTTTTCTTGTATATTTGTGATTTTTTGGTATCGATTTCCTATGTGATAATATCAAATTCTTTTTAAGAGGAGTTCAACCAGTCCTGCTGATAACTTAAAAATATTTTTATACTAACCCCTGATATTAGTAAAGAAATGATTGTAGGAATTCCATTTCTAGCGTTAATATACCCTTTTGAAGTATCCGAAAATGGACTAAGACATAAAAATATTCTATTCGAATTTATTAAACCAATAAAAAATAAAGAAATACAATTAGTTACCAAAGTAAATGAAGAAAACTTTCTATTAAAATTAGAAGTCAAAACTAGCCATATAAAATATTTGAAACAAGAAATTACATACAAAAGAATTGAAGAACAATTAAAAAAATCCTGAAATAATAATAACCTTTAAAAAATCGAACAAGAAATCATAAAAGAAGTATGTGCGAGAGGTCTCTACGCTTTTTGGAATAGAAACACTTTTGAAATATAATTACCATACGAAGAAGGATTTTTGGAAAAGAATATTCCTACCAAAGCAAGACCTGTACAATTAAATAAAGAAACATTAGAATATTGTAGAAAAGAAATAAAATCTTTTTTAGATAAAAAATTTATCGGACCTAGTAAATCTCCATGGAGTTGTGCCGCCTTTTATGTACAAAATGTCTCCGAAATAGAGAGAGGAGAATCAAGAATGATAATAAATTATAAACTCTTAAATAAAAGGTTTTAAAATGGATTAGATATCCCCTGCCTAATAAAATTGAACTAATAAGTAGAATTTATAATGCCACTATATTTTCCAAATTTGATATGAAAAACGGATATTATCAAATTAAATTAAAAGAATAAGACAAATATAAAACTGCTTTCATAATACCCTCTGGACAATTTGAGTAGAATGTAATGCCCATGGGTTTAAAAAACGCGCCCTCCGAATTTCAAAAAATAATGAATGATATATTAAACCCTTACTCAAAATTCGCCATTGTCTATATTGATGATGTATTAATATTTTCTCGAATCAATTGAACAACATAAAAAATATTTAAGAATATTTAAAAATATCATAAAAACAAATGGAATGGTAATATCACAAAGGAAAATAAAACTAGCCTAAACACAAATAAGATTTTTAAGACATGAAATAAATCGAGGAACTATAACCCCTATTAAAAGAAGTATTTGTTAGAATCGCGCAGCGGAATGTTCGCGTGGTCGGACGAAAACCAAGAGGGGGGTGAATTGGTTTCTTAATAAAAATTAGGTTTTCAAAATTTTCCCCAAATTTTACCGATTAAAAACTGTGTAAATGTAAATAGAGAAGAGTAGAGAAGATTACACAGTAGGTTTATACTGGTTCGGATCAAAAGACCCTACGTCCAGTTGCTAATCACTCAAAAGAGGATTAACGCTGTCACTAAGAACAAATTGTTACAAACAAATTACAAATGAACAGATAAAGATCAGAATACACCTCTCTTGAAATCCACAAGAGATGATGAACAACTTTCCCCAGAGACGGCACAGCACACAATCCACTAAGAACTCCACTTAGTGATTCTTATCGCTTCTAGTCCACACCAGGTTCCAAAATCCCCTTTCCTTGCAACAAACAGTTCTCTGGCACTCACAGCACTTAACTTTTGTATGGAAAGAGTTGTTCTTATTTTCTGAGTGCCAAAGGAGAGTTTAAGTAGGGAAATTAGGGTTTAGGAATTGGGGATTTCGAAACTAGGGTTCTTGGTAATTGGGTTTTCGAAAATAGGGTTAATTTGAAATTTAAAATGAAAAACAGACTGAAATAATCGATTAAATGGAGTTTTAATCGATTAAAACAGAGCCAAAAAAATAGAACCCAAAACCTCTCTGTTTTAATCGATTATTTGAAGTTTTAATCGATTATTTGATGTTTTAATCGATTAAAATGATGTTTTAATCGATTAAAACAGATGAGTATATGCTGAAAATGGTTTTCTCATCTGTTTTAATCGATTATTTCCCTATATAATCGATTAAAGCCGAGCCTGGATGATATATTTGGGCTTTTTGAAGCTTCTAAGTTACGGACTATGTAATCGGCTATCTCAAACTCTAAAATTACAGACTCAATCTAATTAAAACAGAGTTATTACACTACAAAACAAGTCTTCAATACTCTAAGTCTTTGAGTTCTTGAATCATCATCAAAATCAACAATCTTCATGTTCATCAAGTGCAACATCAAGTCCTTGAATGTTCAACAATCTCCCCTTTTTGATGATGATCAAAATTATCTTTTAAAGCTCTTGTAATAACCTGTTTTATCCGTCATACTTAACAAACACATTAAACATACCGGATAACATTTAAATTCAATTCATAAGAGGCTTTAAATTTTTTCCCCTATTTTGATTA